TCGCCACATTTGAAGGCGTTTTCAAAACTGCCACGTTTCGATATCGGGATTGTCGTGTTGCATGGAGTTCGGAGCAGAAGATCCATGGAGTGAATGATCTCCCGACAAATGAAACAGCTGTACGCCCAAATCCTTATTTTATTTATTTATGTATAGCTTTTGTTCGTGTTGAGAATGAGCGCTTGGCGAGAGAGACATACTGGATGTGTTTTCGTTCAAGCTATGGTAAAAACTAAAATTCCGAAAAATCTGGTTTTTGTGGCTCTAAAAGGGGTATTCCTTCATCTTCAGGAGTTCTCGAAATGGGCCTGTTGCGAACTTTTATTTATTTATTTATTTATTTATTTTATAATTTGTACAATTGAGCCTCTGGCTGAGGCTATGGCACACGTCATATTTGGTACATGGTGAACAGTTACAGCGATATACATAAGGTACAAGGTTTAAATTTTACTAGCCTACAAGTTCGTGGAGATTATAGAAGGCTTTTTCGAATAAGAAAGCACGCAGCCCCTTAAAAAACGATGTTAGATCAGCATTTCGAAAGTGAAGCTTCACACTCCAAGGCAGAGCGTTGAACATCTGTATTGCCGAAAATTTGACATCCTGCTCAGTCCGTCTCAATCGAATCATTTTATTAGGGATGTTCTTATGCCTACTGTTGTAATGATGATTGGGCAGGAGGTCAGAAGGCAAAATAAGAGCACTGGAGATGGCAAATTTCAGGCAATCCCAGATGTACAGGGAGGTTAGGGTAAACAATTTATATTTAACAAAGATCGGGCGGCAGTGTGAGTTATGAGGAAGATTGAAAATGGCTCTGATAATTTTTTTCTGCATGACAAACACTTGATCAACACTAGAGCTTCGCCCCCACAGAAGAAGCCCATATCGCATATGAGACACTATGTGAGCGTGATAGAAAGCGAGACAGCAGCTCAAGGTGGAAATTCTGGAAAGGTTGCGAATGGCCCAAGAGGCCCTTCAGCTAGAGCAAAAAGAATAAGAGTTTCTTACGGATAATGACTCAAAAATCACAATAAGCGCGTCAGGAAAGGCTGAAATACACCCCTAACTTCACAATCTGCGTAAAAAATATGCGTTTCTTTGAGCTTCATGCTTCAAAAACGGTATCGCGGCACAGGTGAACATTTCGTGGGAGGAGTCCTTCCAGCCAACCCCACGATGCACGAGGATTTTAAACAATATTCAACATGGCTGACGCCTCCGCGTGCAAATCGAGAGGAAGCACTATGGTCTCCATCAACGCAAGGAAAATGTTACAAACCCGCCGTTTGATAAAATCCCTTCTCGTCACGTGTGTTTTGGCGGGTTGGCGTCGGCCATGTTGAATATTGCACAGGATCCTAATACGCAAGGATTGGATGGAACGACTCCTCGTACGAAATAATTATCTGTGCCGTAGTATTGTTTCTGAAACGGAACGCTTAAGAATGGGCCTGTTGCAAACTTTTGCTAGAGCAAAACTAAGAAATGTTTCTTATAGATAATGCCTCAAAAATCACGATGAGCGCATCGGCAAACTCTGAAATGCACTCATAACTTCACAATCTGCGTAAGAAATTTGCGGGTTTTTGAGCTTCCCGCTTCAAAAACGATACTACGGCACAGGTGAACATTTTGTAAGAGGAGTCGTTCCATCGTCGGCAATAATCATCATAGCCGACGCCAATCCGCCAAAACACGTTTGATGGGACGAGATAACACCTGAACTGGATTAGACCAGATAACAATCGGTGTGTTAACGTTCATATTTTCCACACCCGAATTGATTGACCTTGAACTCTCCTTGAATTACGCGCGGAACTGCGTGCAAGCGTCGGCCATGATGAATATCGCCGACGATGGAGCGACTCCTCTAACAAAATGTTCACCTGTGCCGTAGTATCGTTTTTGAAGCGGGAAGCTTAAAAAAACGCAAATTTCTTACGCAGATTGTGAAGTTATGAGTGCATTTCAGACTTTGCCGATGCGCTCATCGTGATTTTTGAGGCATTATCTACAAGAAACAACTCTTATTTTTGCTCTAGCAAAAGTTTGCAACAGGCCCATTAAACACATTATTTCTTACGCAGATCGTGTAGTAAGGAGTGTATTTGGGCATACTTATTCTAAAAGGAACTATGTCGTATGCTAGCCCTATCCACATCATTCTTTTTGGCATAAATACGTCCATTTCGAACTATCTCGATGCGCTCAAAGACCCATCATCTACAAGAATCAACTCTTTAGTTCTGCTCTAGCTGAACTTTGCAATACAGGGTGTCTACTAAAACAGGGTGGCCATAAATCAGTACTTTTCCGGTACATTCCCAGGAAATTCAGTACCACCTAAACATAAATATTCAGTACTTTTTCCGTACCTCCAATTGACGAAATTTGAAAACTTTAAGAAATTTGAATTTCTCTCTCAAATTACGACAATATGAAAAAAAAATCCGGAACTTCTCGCAAAATTTCCGCCTTTTCTTAGTACTTCCGGACCGTCCTTAAAAAATCGGTACTATTTCCAGACTTTCCGGAAATTCCGGACTTGTAGACACCCTGCAATGGGCCCATTCGCGAGACCGACCAGTCGCGTAGTCGAGAAGTTTCAGCACCCCCGAGTCCATTCACATACAGGTGTTTCTATTAGTCGATAGAATTCACCATCTTCCTTGACTTTGTTTCAGAAACGACATTTCTGCTATCGAGTATCCTTTACGAATAGATGCTTTCATAAATACGTTTCTGCATTCGGTCCCTTTACACTGTGCTCGGTACAAATATGCTAATGTACCTGGTTATTCCCTATTAGCCCGAGCCCATTTGTCTCCGCTGAAACCCATCCGAGTGATTTATTAGCAGACGGCAACGACGGAACTGTAGACGGAGGGAGCGGGGGGATTATTTAGTCGTCTGTGCCCTGTGGATGAGGAGGGTTCGCACCCCCCCCCCTTCCCACTCCCCGCGTCGAGCGAAAACGAGGGAAGCAGCGTGGGGGAAGGGGGGCTGCGAAGTGTGTATCAAGTGCGTATCGCACCCCGGGGTTTTTTTTATACAATTCCGCGTGTGCTGTCTGTTGTATTTACACCTAGCGACGGCGTTTGAATTCGCAGCGCGGAATTCGGCGGGGCGGGGAGATGATTTTCCAGTTATTAAAGCGGTCTCGCTCATATTTCCGAACGTAGCGCCGCGCGTCTATCGCTTTCGATACGCATTAAGCCCCCTCCCCGCCCCCCTCCTGCGGGACCCCCTTTCCGCGGTTGGTTTTAGCTTCCACCCCCGCTCCCCCCAGCGCCGTAACTGCAGGGCTCCCCTTCTGCAGGAACACGACCGTCCTTGTTCTATGAACCTTGATCCTGGCGCCCCTCGCCGTGAGCTGGGGGGAAAAAGCTAGGTTGAAAGTCATCATCCGTTGGTGGGTCTGTAGAAAAACCGAGTTCTCCGTTTTAACAACGTAAAGGCCTCGATAGACGATCAAATTCCCGAACCAATTCCGATCAAAGTAGCATCAAAGTGTCGGGAGTCATCAGTCCTAAACTCATTAATTTGCTTCATTTTAAAATGAAAACTTGGCAGAAATGTTTCCTGTGGCAGGGAATGGTGAATGGTGGTACTCTGGTATAATCTTACTTTGAACCAAAAAGTGCGGCCCGTCAAAATTTGATGGTAGATGGTGACCATCAGTCATCAGCATGTCTACTTTGATCGGAATTGGTTCGGAATTTGATCGTCTATCGAGGCCTTAAATTGGAGGGTATGGATTCGATCGACATGAATCGATCGGGGAAAAAAACGTAAACCGATCGGCAAAATTCGATCGATTCACGTGTTTATCGAACGATTCACTGCTTTCACTGGAAAAAAAACACATTGGATCTAGAGTCCAGACTCTTAAAAAAATCGACAAGAAAAAAACTCTTGATTCAATCGGATTTTTGCTTAAATTAAGAACCAAGCCTCTTAATTTGAGCGGATTTCCTTTTGATTTAAGCAAAAATCTGATTGAATCAAGAGTATTTTTTCTTGTCGATGTTTTCAAGAGTCTGGCCTCTAGATCCAATGTGTGTTTTTTTTCCAGTGTTGTGGACCGATTCATGGTTGTCGATCAAATCACGATTTTCTTTTTCAATCGATTATCGATTCATGTCAATCGAATCTATACCCTCCGTGTAGATGTTCATTTAGATTTTAGTTTTTGAAAGGACGATGAATGATCGTCGTTGTATGTAGGGATCTAAGTGGGATCTTTCTCGTTCCTGGCAACGGGAACTTTTCGGGAAAAATTCCCGAAAATCCTCGCCTAAAATCCACTTCCTAGAGCAACTTTGATAAAGAAGCATACACACAGGCACTAACACACTGTACTCATTCTTATTTAGAAGAGCCTCACAAAGAAGGGGTATCAATAACGGCCGTTGAGCCCACCGTAGCTGAATTCGAAATTCAGGATTTCCTCAACGCTATATTTTGCTCATTAAGGAACTATAATTTACAAAATGCATCATGATTTGGTCTTTTCCGGTCTCTTTCTCGGTTTAATACGGGCCTAAACATGGGTCTGTGGTTCGATTTTGGCGAAAAATCCCGATTTTTCGGCATTCAACCGCAAACTCGCCAAACCCGAATCTTCAGCCAGAATCAGCCTTCAGGCTCAAGTTAAGGCCAGTAATAGATCAGAAAAAAGACAGGAACAAGCAAAACATGATACATTCCGTAGAATATAGACCTTCAATGAGTCCAAAATCGTATAATTTAGGAAGTTCACGGTGAGCTTCAACTGATACCCCTTCTTTTTGCACTTCCAACTTAAGTAAGAACGGTTTTTTGGCATTCGTGAATTTTGGTTCACTTTCTCGGAGAAGCTCACATCAGTGGACAAAAATCTTTAGTTTTTGGCCCTTTTATACACCAAAGGATAAGCGATGCACTTTGCATCTAAAACCACGAGAAACGAGAGTCTGGCTGGGAGCACACAGAGACAAAGGGGTCCTTACCTTTTCGTCGAGGGCTTTGTGGTGTTCGAAGAGACTTTTCAGGGCTTTTATGATTTCGACTTCGCTCGAGACGACTGACTGTTGAGCAGCCTGCCTCTTCACCACCGTCATCCTTAGAGACCGCTCGTGTCGGGAAACCAAACATTCCAGATGTTCCAGCAACAACTGCCGTTCATGAAACAAACAAAAATTCCTCGTTTTTTTAAACATTGAACAGGAAATACATTAGGGAACGCGTTAATCGGCACAGCCTCAGCTGTGAGCGCTTTTCTAAGCTTGGAAATTGGTTTCGGCGAATGATACACGGACAAAAAACTTAGTGCGGGGCACTTTAAGTTGAGGTCACGTGGATTGCTGAAGTTTTTGTACCACACATCGGAAAACTTAGGGTCCAGGTGTCGAAGTTCGGATCAAAGAACTGAAGTACTTCGGTGTGTAACAGTTAGTTAGTTAATATATTTTAAGACATTCAGCGTCACAGGCTATTAACATCTTTACAGAGAATTTTGAAAATGGGTGTATATACTATTTAGATTTTTAAATGAAGAGCGGCAAAGAGTTTCAGAAGTTTGGTAGTACAATTGATGTGTGACCCAAACCCTTCGGTATATACCAAGTACTTCAGATGTCTGACCCGAGCTTAGGTAGCTGGAACTCGAGTTTTCAGATACGCGGTCCAAAAACCTCGGAGATTCCGTATGACCTCAACTTCGGGTTCCATCGGTCCCATGTACAAAGTTTTTCTTCTCTGTACTATTGGCCAAAACCAATTTCTAATCCCAATAAGCTTCTGAGCTACGTTAATATCTCGTCCAGGAGTTGATTTCCAAACTTTTGTTGTGTTGATCGTGTTCCGCGTAAGATTTTAAAGAGAAAACGTGTAACTTCTCGTCATTTCCCGGACGAAGGATCGTAACCCCATTCCAAGGTTGCAAAATTGACTTTGATAATTAAATTCTTTACAAGAGTGTACAGGCGCAATTTTGATTTAAAAATCGTCTGATTTTCGCATGAGATCAGAGGAAAAATCAGTGAAATTTTCAGAACGAATAAATATCTGAGATCGTCCTGGTAAAAAATACATTTTTGAAGGGAAATTTGGCGACATTGAAATATAGTTACGTTCTTTTGTGAGGAAAACGACGATTTTAGTTAGTCTTGCTAGGACCTCATACAGTGCCCGATTGTTCGCAGAGTTGGATAGTCAAATGGCGAATCTCCTGGACTCGGAAGGACACCCAATCTGACGCTGGGTGGCGCGACGCGGCGGTTTCACCGTCGAAAGACTCGACTCGGGGAAGTTAACGAGTTGACGAGGGCGAGGGCCGCGAGGGCGCCAAGAGAGGCGTATTTCAAGGTGCCGGAATGGGAACGGGGCGACCAGGGCGCGGGTCGTCAAAGGGCGGGGGTTGGGGGCGGCACCGGGCGCAGGGACTGCGGTCGTGAAAGTGGTGCGGGCTTCGGGAAAAGATAGTGCCAACGGTCAGCTGAGGGCTCCCGTCTTTAATTAAACAAGGGACCAAGATTCCCAGGTTCATCTGCAACCCCATCGCTGCCGAGCCTCTGCCAATCTAAAACACCACGTCTCGAACCTCGAGAGTATTCAAATCAAGATAAGGGAGAAGCTATTTTTTTTTTCTTTTTCTGGACTCAAAGCGGTGGAAGAAGAAATTCCCGGTTTCTGAAATTCCCCCATTCTCTGATAAACCTGGAGAAAATTCAGATGAAGTTAAAGGGTGAAATTAGACTCAAGGAAGACAGGTAAAAGGATGAATTCCCGGTTTTTGGAACGGATTTACTGATTTTTCCCTCAAATTTTTCATTCCCTGATGAATCCCGGATTTTCTCAGTCTAAAGGCCACAACTCTATAATTAATCCATTTTCCGTTCCCTGAATTTTCCTAATAGGCACATTGCCACATTCTATGTTTTCCCCTGATTCACACTGAGAAAAAAATGAAGTTCATTGCGAAATGTTGACCTCCTCCCCCTTTTTTTCTTTTGTCGTGCTTAGGCTGATTTTCAGCGAATATCCAAATTTTGAGAGGTAGTACTTAGTCTTCGGTCCGGAGTCGAGACTTATAACAAAATTGACAAGAAAAAATACAATTGATTCAATCGGATTTTTATTCGAATCAAAAGGAAATCTGCTTAAATTAAGTGGCTTGGCATTTTCTTGTCAATTTTTTCAAGCGGACCCAAGGAACTTTTTTTTCCAGTGAGGAAATTATTGGTTCCGACACCGATTCCCAGGAGAGTCCCTTTTTCCTGCGGTTTGCCTTTCCTGATGAATCCAAGTTTACCTCAATTTTTCCTGGGCCAAAAATCACAAATTTCCGAATTTCGATACGAAAACTCCATACATTTTTCGTACAACCTAATCGACACTTGACTATTTGCAAATCCGTGTTTTATTAAAGGATGTCAGTATATTCAAACGGTAGACATCCTGTAAATCAAAGAGCCTTGACCGTTTGGTTTCACAATCAAGGACAACGAGGCCGTTAAAAAAAAAAGGAAAATCGAAAAATAAGCGCTGGAGAGCAGCGATGATGGGAGCTTAAAAGCTAGGCCGAAACGGATATGTGACGGCGCAACAGTTGAGGTGAAATACGAGCTGCGTGTCCACGGGGATGTTTTGGGGAGGGGGAGAGAGGGGAGGGAACGAGAGAAACCCCTGCGGCCCTGCGGAGGAGCCGCTTGAGCCGCCTGCCTCATGATTGATTACTTTCTACATTAACGCATAGAAATGAGAATTCATGCTCTGAAAACTATACAACATCCCACCCTCCCCAACCCGCATCCCACGGGGTTCATCAGGTGCCTGATGGAATTGGAATCCCGGGACGGATTGAGCCTCTCTTCCCCCCCCCCCCCCGAAAAAAATTAGTAAAAATCTAAGGGATATAAAGAGGAGGAAAAATCGAAAATATCGGGGCAAGTCCTGCAAAGCCTCTAAATCTCTATTCTAGGGTGTCTAAAAATTTGAAGGGAAAAAATGCCCCGACTTTTCCAGGTTTTCCCTGACTAAAACGATGAAAATTCTAGGTGGCGGTAGCCACCCGTGCCAAATTCTTACAAGTTTGTGAGCCTTACACATGTGTCTAACCGGGCAGTGTTTTTCGAAAGAGAACCGAGCTATTTCCGTTGCTGTCAAATTTCGTTGGAAAATTGGTTTCCATACCTACTAGAGAACAGTATAACATCGATTCATTTGAAGGTGTCGGGAAAGTGTCTCTGTGGCAAACACCAAATTTCCTTAAATTTTCAGGATAATTTATACATTCGTTCTCTTGTGAAATGATAAATTGTCCTATTCCATTCGGGCATGGCTGATGTCACTTGGTCCTCTAGCGAGAGACACCGTTCAACTTGCGTTACAATAACTTGGGCACTATTTAAAATATTTGCGCAAGAATTGAGCGGCTTGGAGGACAAAGAGCATAAGTGCAGTTTTTGAAAAAAAAAAATGGGACATTGATAATTACAAGTAAAACTAGTCTTAAAGCATATTCTGAGAAAACATTGCTCTCAAATTCCAAGTTTTAAGCATCGAAAAATCACTTTGAGTCTTCTTTCAGCCATAAGGATCCATGTGATCTCGAAACTTCAAACACGCATTTGTCGAAATAGCAAAAACTGCACTTATTTGCCTTGTCCTCCAAGCTGCTCAATTCTGATTTAATCACTGCTCATTATGTAAATATCGATACAACGAAACGAAAATTACGCAGTCACAATTTATGACTGACGACATATTAAAACATGTTTACTTTAAGACGTTACTTCTTAACTGTAAAAGAGAGAAATGAACTCACCCTAGTGTTATTCCGCTCGGCCTTGAGCTCCGATATTTCTTCTTCCCTCTCAAGAAGTTGCTCTCGGGCTTTGTTAAGTTCTTTGGTTAGCGCCGCAAATTCCTGTAACAATCATGAAAATAAGAGATCAATAACTCGAAAGCAGGGATACGCAGTAATAAATGACACGATTTCAGTTTCAGTATTTCTTGATTAAAAAAGGGGCGCTTCAACTTCGAGACCAAGATGAAGTTGGAGCCTCCCGATGAATAACAGTGAATCATGTACAGGACCCATGCTGCAGCCATAAGTGTTGCTGCGGCGGAGATACATTTACCTGTACCGGCAAGAAAGGGCTCATAAAACATGAGCGGAGCTTTGATAGTGGATCTTCAGGTACGACATTTCCACAGTTTCGATGTATTGTAGGTTTCGTCCTTACACGGCATGTGATGGAAAAGTCTGACTTTTAGTCTGTAGATTTAATATCCAGAGTTCATACAAGAAAAAAAAATAGGCACTGATTACAATAATTTTCGTTGCGCGAATCGTGTTCTACGTATTTTGGATAAGAAATATGTATCAGAACGCTTAAGCTTTTTATACCCAAATTCTACCGCATTGTCTTGTTTCGTTATTGTGATCTTTCTGTAAAAAATATCCATTTGCTAAATACAATTCTAGCTTGAGTACACTTAAAATATGCCGCCACAACTGTAAACATGCCAATCGAAAATCGTTAAAGCCAGCGCAAAGGCCACTACACTTTTAATCTTCCATCGCATTGCTAAGGCGCAATGATACAACTATTCGTACTCTCCGGAATGCGGGAGGTATCACGCCCTAATTGAAGGCGTTTTCAAAACTGCCGAGTTTCGATATCAGGATTGGTCGTGTCACAACTTCACAAGATCCCAGGATTGACTGATCTTACGAACTAATGCAACAGTTCTGCTGACACCTCCTTGTTTTAAAGGCCGATTCTTTGGCTCAAATTCAAATTTTTAATTCTGAATGCGTTCCTAATGTTTATAATATCTGGTAAATGAAAGCTTGTACATTAGTGTGGCGATTTGAATATTCAAGTATGTCATTCAGAATGTCAATAATGACGGCTTAGGTGCAATAGCATACACCTTGATAACAATATTGATACTTCAAATCTCCGCAAAATTTGAAAACGAAATGGTTTCTAAGCAACAGGAAAAGAGATTCCCGGTTTCTGGAACAGACTCTCTGGTTTTACCCTGATTAGCCCTGAAAGTTTTCATTCCCTGATATCTCCCGGTTCTTCCCGGTCCTAGACACCACGCTCTTCTTCCTTGTCTACAGCAAGCTGATTATTGAAATTGATAGACAAAGCAATGCACAAAGAAGACAAAAGGCAAATGGAGCGATCCTGTCGATTGAAACGTGCAGTTGTTACTGACGAAAAGGGTAAATGATGGACCAACTGGATTGCATTTTGCAAAAAGGAACCACTAGCATTGCGATGTTGCTAAGATTGTGCAACTTCTTTTGTCTTGAAGGAAAAACCCTATTATCCCTTAATAGTTTCCATTTTACTCGCTAAAAACTGTAAATTTAAAACAAAAATTACCATCTAAATTTCATAGTTTTTCACAATTTCCGCAATTTCATTGCAAAGGATGAAGTTGCACAATCTTAGCATCATTGCAATGCTAGTGGTTCCTTTTTGCAAAATGCAATCCAACTATAGAGTCTCTAGTAAGCGGCCGTCAGTTAGTCCATTATTTACCCTCTTCGCCCGATGCAACCACTGGCTCCCACCAATACGATCGCTCCATTTCCTCTTTGTCCATCGGTTTGTCTATCAATATCCGTGTTCAGCCCGCAAGTCCATTGTCATCCAGCCACTGAACCCATCGCCTATCGATCCTCCCGAGTGCACTCGAAAATGACGTCATACTAAAATCCTTTGTCGTCGATGACGACCAATTTTACTCTCCGACACTGTTGCCATGCTGACCCATGGTGCGCTAGCAGTTGGACGTGAAATCCTCGTGTTTGCGTGGAGATCCGACAACGGGGGCCGGGTCGGATCCGAGGCGACTGATCAAAGGTGGTTATGACGACTCCTGCGGGGGGCCGTAATGGGGCGAATGGGGCCAGATCTCCGGGGGTGAGCCATACCGAGCGGCGCCTTCAGGGTTCCCAACGCCACCCGCACGGCTCGACCGTGCCCCAGTTGGGATCCGCGCGCGTCTCGCTTCCGCCGATGACGATCACGTTCCGGCGAAACGCGCTTCGGCTTCGCTCGAGTGTCAATCAAGCCGGACACGGACGGTCCTTCGTGCCGTCTTGCCGAGCCGTTTCCAAATTCTACGATTAATGGCGGGGTTTTCAGGGAAAAAATCGAGAAGTTTTCGAGGAACACTGGAAAAAAAGTCGCTTGGATCGAAAGTCCAGAATCTTGAAACAGTCACTGGAAAAAAAAAACACATTGGATCCAGAGTCCAGACTCTTAAAAACATCGACTAGAAAAAATACTCTTGATTCAATCAGATTTAAGCGTAAATCAAGAACCAAGCCTCTTAATTTGAGCGGATTTCCTTTTGATTTAAGCTTAAATCTGATTGAATCATGAGTCCTTTTTCTTGTCGATGTTTTCAAGAGTCTGGACTCTAGATCCAATGTGTTTTTTTTTCCAGTGTTGACAAGAAAAAACACGCTTGATTCAATCGGAATTTTTGCTTGAATCGAAAGGTAATCCGCTTAAATCAAGAGGCTCGGCTTTTCAATTCAATACAAAATCGGATTGAATCAAGAGTCTTTTTTCTTGTCAATGTTTTTAAGAGTCTGGACTCTAGATCCAAGCAACTTTTTTTTCCAGTGAGCTCTCGAGTTGATAAAATCAATGGCTTCTAAAGATATTTTAATGACATCCAAGAAAAAACTTTAGGTGAAGCATATTTCCATTTTAAAGGATATAAAATCCAAACTGAAGACCTCCAGGGAATTTGCATTTTTGCGTAAATTCAATCCAGGATGTAAACATTTCTTGCATTTCATAACTGCCCAACTTTTGCCGGACTACTCGATATTTTTCTTTCTTTTTTTTATAGCATGATTTTTCGTAAGAGATCTCTCCACAAAAAAGAGGCGCGAAGTCTCTTAACATTGCAAATATGTAATTTGTAAGGAGGAAAAATGGATTGCATTTTGCAAAAAGGAACCACTAGCATTGCAATGATGCTAAGATTGTGCAACTTCATCTTTTGCAATAAAATTGCGGAAATCGTGAAAAACTATGAAAATTAGATGGTAATTTTTGTCTTAAATTAATAACAGTTTTTAGCGAGTAAAATAGAAACTATTAATGGATAATCGGGTTTTCCTCAAAGACAAAAGAAGTTGCACCATCTTAGCAACATTGCAATGCTAGTGGTTCCTTTTTGCAAAATGCAATCCAAATAATCAATGCCCACGGAGAGGAGAATAACCATTGCTCTTAGAATGCTCATAGTGGATTCCAGATCCCATCTACTTCTCCAGGCATAGTTAAAATGCTGCAGTGCTCCTGGGACCGACAAGATTGTTACTGCAAAAGTGAGATTACAACTATGACTATACTGCTGTGCTAAGGATAAAAATCGTATGAACATTCGAGAATTGCCGAATTTTCACCGATAAAATGTTCATTTTTGAGCAGAAATTTTAAGCCAACTTAAAGCTGGTAGCGAATTATATTCTCTGAAAAATTGGAAGACAATTATTCTCAGATTTTTCTGAGAATTTATACTTTATCAAAGAAAAATTGGTAAAATCTAAAGGCTCATGCGGCGTTCTGCCTCAGCACGGTGGTGCAGAAAAATATATGGGACCTAGCATCCATTTTAAGCATTGCGATGGTAAGAATTGAGGGACTTGGAGGACGAGGCGCACAAGTGCAGTTTTCGAAAAAATTGAGATATTCTAAAACTCGACTAAAACTAGTTTGGTAGTAGATTAGTCTGTGAAAATTCGCAACAAAAATCCGATTTTAAAGCACAACAAGGTGAGTTTAAACTTCCTTTCCGTCATAAAAAGCCATGTAATTTTGAAACTTTAAACGGATGTTTCTTGTATATCAAAAACTGCACTTATGCGCCTTATCCTCCAAGCCCCACAATTATCTTTTCTTCGCGCTCCGTAGCAAAATTCCCTAACTTTTCTATGACTTTTCGGAGTGGATGAAAGTCCCATCTCTTTCCCAGTTTCGCCCTATACCTTGTCACCCTCTTCTCCGACTTCATAACAGGGTGTCTACTAAAACAGGCTGACCAAAAATCACTACTTTCACAGTACTTTTTTAGTACATTTCCAAGAAATTCAGTACCTCCTCAACAGAAAAACTCAGCACTCGTTCAGTACCTCCAATTATTGACGAACTTGAAAAAATTTAAACAATGACAAAAAGTTGGAAAAATTCCGGACCTTCTTGCGGAATTGCCGCACTTTTTCAGTACTTCCGGACCTCCCTTGAAAAATCAGTACAAATTCCGGACTTTGCGGAAATTCCGGATTTGTAGACACCCTGCATAAGCATAGGGGCCATGCCCAGGACCGTCGAGCATGGGCCGGAACTTACCTGAAGGAGGATGAGGTGTATGAAGCAGGAGCAGGTCTTGGCGGGGGTCTTGAGGCCGTTGAGTCCTTTGGTCGGCGGGGCCTTGGACGCGAGCTGGACGAGCTGCTTGACCACGTGGTCCAGGTCGAGGTCCCCGGTGGAGGCGCAGACCGACTGCAAAATCGTCAGGATCCCGACGTTCACGTTCGCCGCGCCTCCTCCCCCTCGCCCCGCCCCCATCCCCGGCTGCCGGAGGTTCGCCAGCAGCGAGAAGATGTTGTCCGCCTGCTCGATCATTCCGACTTCGTTCCGGAACCGCGCAAGAGGAAACAGGGAACGAGAACTACCGCGAGCGAGAAAATTGCACTTTTGGCTCTCGGTTCACCATACTGTTTCTCAAGGAGGTACGTGACGTTTATAAAGTTACGTATGAATTTTGTTCTATCTACCACTTGACCAGGATTCCAGATTTGGGTCGAAAAATTGCACTTCCGTCTCTCGTCATCATTCTATTTCTGGAGGTACGTGACGTTTACGATGTTACGTACGAAAT